GCCTTAGCCGGTTGAGCTATAGGCGTCGAGCCTTTTAGTTATTTTAGAGTATATTCTAACTTACTGCTGATTATAGCCACTTTGTTGTGCTATCAAATATTGTTTAATTCTAGTTAACTATATTTTTGCAGACCATTAAGCACCCCCTCACATTATCCCCTGATCCCCTCCTACCTTCCCAACCTCTGGTTACCATCATTCTATTCTGTCTCCATAAGGTTAATGGTTTATAATATTTAGCTCCAACATATGAGTGAGAACAAGTAAGATTTATCTTTCTTTCTTTCTTTGTTTTAGAGATTCTCACTCTGTTGCACAGGCTTCAGTTCTGTTGCATCAGCCTAACTCACAGAAACCTCAAACTCCTGACCTCGGGTAATCCTCCCACCTTGGTCTCCCAGAACACTAGGATTATAAGGTGTGAGCCACCATGCCCAGCTGAGATTTGTCTTTCAGTGCCTGGTTTATTTCACGTAACATAATTGTTTCCTAGTTCCATCCATGCTGTTGCAAATGGAAGGATTTCATTCTTTTTTTTTGTGGCTACATAATATTCCATTGTGTGTATGTACCACAATTTTGTTATTCATTCACCTGTTGATGGACACTTAGGTTTATTTACAAATCTTCACTACGGTGAATATAGCAGTAGTAGACACAGGAGTGCAGATAACTTTTCACTATATTAATTCCCCTCCTTTGGATATATACTCACCAGTGGGACTGCTAAATCATATGGTAGATCTTTTAGTTTTTTGTTTGTTTGTTTGTTTTAGAGACAGTGTCTCACTTTATCACCCTCAGTAGAGTGCTATGGCGTCACAGCTCATAGCAACCTCCAACTCCTAGGCTTAGGCGATTCTCTTGCCTTAGCCTTCCAAGTAGCTGGGACTACAGGCGCCTGCCAGAATGCCTGGCTATTTTTTTGCTGCAGTTTGGCTGGGGCCAGATTTGAACCTGTCATCCTCGGTATATGGGGCCGGTGCCCTACCCACTAGGCCACAGGCGCCGCATTGGTTTTTAGTTGTTTGAGACACCTCCATACTGTTCTCCATAGTGGTTGCTAAACATACTTCTACTGTGAATTTTTGCCACAGAGGTATTAAAAATAAAGAATATTATAGAAACATGGAAAAATATTTATGATAAAAATATTTATGATATTTGTGATAAAACAGTATCCCCTCCTACAATTATAACTAGAGAAATGTATATACAGAGTCAAACATTAAAAGGGAATGTAAAAAAGTGAAAATATGTGAAGCTAAGGTACTGGAATTTGAGCTGAGTCACTTTATTCTATCATGTATATAGTATTTTCATTTGTAAAAGGGAGAAAGTTGCCCAGGGGCCATAAGAGGCATGAGAACTGCCTACATTGGGTAATTAGAGTATTTTAAACCTAGATATCTTGTGTCCGTAACTCCTATTTATTAATTTTTTTTTTGAGACAGAGTCTTCATTATGTCGCCCTCAGTAGAGTGCCATAGCGTCACAGCTCACAGCAACCGCAAACCCTTGGGCTTAAGTGATTCTCTTGCCTCTGCCTCTCAAGTAGCTGGGACTACAGGTGCCCACCACAACGCCTGGCTATTTCTTGCTTGTAGTCATCATTGTTGTTTAGCTGGCCTGAACTGGGCTCGAACGCACCAGCCTTGGTGCATGTGGCTGGTGCTGTAATCATTGTGCTATAGGCACCAAGCTGTAACTCCTATATTTTAGTCTGCAGTTATGTGGCAAAGACAACAGACACTTAAGTTCTCTTACCCGTGTCATTCCCCTGTCTTTTTTCTCCTTGCTGTCTCTTTTAGGGGTATCCTTCTTGCTACTTAACTTTCCTTGACTGGTGGGTTTCTTTTCCTTGATCTCTTCTTCTTCAGGTGACCCAGGGTCCTGGGGCACATAGACTTCTTGCTGCAATATAGTTGGAAACAGGTAATCCTACAGAATGTTTCACTTTCCCAGTAATTCTAGGTCTAATGAGTTTCTTTCTAGGCGAAGGAACAGCTCTTTTACTCATAAACTTAAGAGTCCATATCAATCTAAAAACCCACTCCTAGGGGCAGTACACATCTGGGTACTGTACTTACCTGCAATGCCTCAACTCAAGGTACTGATTTTCCATATAGGCAACAGTTCAGATTTCATAGATTTAAAATTTTTTATTTTCATGCAATGAGCATCCACAAAAAATCCAGGAAACAAAATCCTCAAAGTAACAAATGACTGGTGCTTTTCTCAAAAGGATCATTGACAGAATAAACAAAGTCAAAAACACACCTGGGTATTGGGGTCATAATAAGTTCCTGCCAAGGGATCATAGTAGTAGCCAGTAGCAGAATCATATATGTAACAGTCAGATGACGCTAAAGGAATAAAACCAGAGCCAACGTTAGTTGCTACCCAATGAACTCCTTACTGAGGACTTAGCAAGAACAACCTGAGAGTTAGGGTAGGCCAAGACAAATAGGGACAGAATCTGTAGACAATGCTTGCACTGGGTGAGCACCTCAGTATGTCTTCCTAACGTTATGACTACATAGATGTCAAGTAATAAATAGCAAAAAACCCAAAAATGAATAACAGAAAAAAACAAAGGTTACTTACATTGTTGCCCTTGTCGATTTGTATCTGATGACCAGTCTGAATTTCTGCCACCTCCCCTCCTATCCCGGAAATATTTTTTACCCTATCACAGAAAGGCAAGTTTATAATTATAGAGTTATCCAATAGCCATTCACATTTTTTTTTTTTTTTTTGAGACAGAATCTCACTATGTCACCCTAAGTAGAGTGCTGTGGTGGGTGTGTCTGCTCATAGCAACCTCAAACTCTTGGGCTTAAGCCATTCTCTTGCCTCAGCTTCCCAAGCAGCTGGAGCTACAGGCACCTGCTACAATGCCCAGCTATTTTTTTTCTGTTGCAGTTGTCACTGTTGCTTAGCTGGCCCAGGCCAGGATTTGAACCAAGTGCTGGCTCGGTGTATGTGGCTAGCACTGTAACCACTGTGCTATAGCACTGAGCCACCGTTCACCTTAATATTCACCCACTGGAGAAAATTCAAGATCATCCTTATTAGTTACCTAAGAATTTTAACAGAGCACTCCCCACATATTAGAGCCTACCTGATAGTAATGCATGTGGTCAGAATGATCCCCAGAATCATTTCTGCAATAAACAACACAACATATTATGAGTCTGCTACCAAAAGGCACTTGAGGAGTACTTAATCCTATAGACCCTAATGAGAAACTCCTCTTTACCCATTTTGTAGGGAAAGAACCAATCTGGATAGTAAGCAGGTTGGATGGTTCAGATACTCCTAAGGAGAGGAACAGCAGGACTCCTATAAGGCCATTTCTTGGAGCAAAACAATTTTTTGTTGTCAAGACAGAGTCCCACTCTGTTGCCCTGGGTAGAATACAGTGGCATGATTATAGCTCACTGGCCTCAAACTTCTAGGCTCAAGCAATCCACTGGCTTCATCCTCCCAAGTAGCTGGGACTATGAGTACACCTAATTTTTTCTGTCTTGGGTAGATATGGGGTCTTGCTTTTGCTCAGGCTGGTGTCAAACTCTTGAATGGGGGCAATCCTCCCACCTGGTCCTACCAGAATGCCAAAATTATAGGTTATGAGCCTCTGGGCTTGGCCACAAAACAACTATCGAAAGAAAAGTACCAGAGCAAGATCTGCCCTGTATCTGTAAGTCTATTTCTGTGATGCAGCCACCTCTAAGTTACCCTGTGTGGGCCAAGTTGAGTGAAGGAGTAAAGAATTATAATACATTTCCCAGTGCTATGGGGAGATGAATGTGGCCAGGGAAACAAGAAGTCAGGAGAGCATTTTCTTAGGATTCAAAGGGATAAGGATATTGAGAGATTTTTCTACACATCCAAGACAGTACCATCAATTTTTTTTGGTCGGGGGGTGAGGAAAGCTAGAATCTCACTCTGATGCCCAGGCTAGAGGGCCATGGTGTCAGCCTAGCTCAGAGCAACCTCTAACTCCTGGGCTCAAGTTATCCTCCTATGTTAGCCTCCCAAGTACCTGGGACCACAGGTGCTCACAACAATGCATAGCTAATTTTTCTATTTTTCATTTTATTTTTTGAGACACAGTCTTACTATGTTGCTGTGGGTAGAGTGCTATGACATCACAGCTCACAGGAACCTCAAACTCTTGGGCTCAAGTGATCTTCCTATGTTAGCCTCCCTGGTAGCTAGGACTACAGGTGCTCATGACAACGCATAGCTAATTTTTCTATTTTTATTTTTTGAGATGGAGTCTCCCTATGGTTGCCCTGGGTAGAGTACCATGGCGTCACAGTTCACAGCAACCTCAAACTCCTGGGCTTATGCGATTCTCTTGTCTCAGCCTCTGAAATAGCTGGGTCTACAGGTGTCTATCACAACACCTGGCTATTTTTTTGTTGTAGTTGTCATTGTTGTTTTAGCTGGCCTGGCCAGGTTCAAACTCACCAGCTTCAGTGTATGTGGCTGGCACCATAACCACTGTACTACAGGCACAGAGCCTAATTTTTCTATTTTTAGTAGAGATGGATCTCACTCCTGCTCAGGTTGGTCTCCAACTACTGAGCTCAAGCAATCCACACACCTCTGCCTTCCAGAGTGCTAGGATTACACATGTAAGCCACTATGCCCAGCCATGTCTTTTTTTTTTTTCAAAAGCAATGTGGTCTCACCATGTTGCTCAGGTTGGAGTGTAGTGGATATTCACAGGTGTGATTGCCACACAATACAGCCTTGAATTTCTGGCCTGAGTCAACCCCCCATCTCAACCTCCCAGGTAGCTAGGAATATAAGTGCATGCCCCCCATGCCCAGAGATTTAGGACCCAAAGACACCCAGTAGTCAAAAAGGAAAGGAATATATTAACTAGTACTATTATTTAAGAAAGTAAATAATCCTAGAGTCAGAACAAGGCAGGCTTTATAAAAAAAAAAAAAAAAAAAAATATATAAATATACATAAAAGCATATAAATAAATATACATACAAATATATATATATATATTTAAAAATATAAAAGCCTGTATCTGAAGCATGCTGGGAAGATATCACGCCCTGCTGTCTGTCTTTCCAGCCAGGAAAAGGGGTTACCTCCCTAAAATTCAAGTGCCTTCCTTTTTGTGTTAAGTGACTCAAATGTACCCCTCTGTCTTACCTTCGTTTTCCAGTGGCCAGGTTTACAGCTACCATTTTTCCATCAATGCTAAATGGTGGATCGAGGTTCTGCAAGATCTTCACCACACGAAGAGCTTCCTGCAGAGCCAAAGACACACTTGAACTCAAAGAGAAAAAGGCAATGTCCTTTGAAAGAGAATTGAACATGGATATACGGATATACTTCTTAGAAGAGAAATTTACTAAACATTATATTCTGGTCATAACTTTAACAGTAAGAGCATATTAGCAATAGCAGGCAACTTATAATGAAGTACTAATAGGAACTATAGTGATCAGAGTAGATGTCAATTTCATCATAGCTTACTGAAGCCTCAAACTCCTGGGCTCAAGGGATTCCACTGTCTCAGCCTCCTGAGTAGCTAGATAGGTGCATACCACCAACCCTGGCTTGCTTTTTTTTTTTTTTTTTAATATTGTTTGGGATTCATTGAGGGTACAAAGAATTATGTTACACTGATTGCTTCTGTTAGGTAAAGTCCAGCTTGAAATTGTGCCCTAGCCTGGCTAATTTTTAAAAATTTTTGTAAGCCAGGCATGGTGGCTCATGTCTATAATGGAGGAGGGTGGATTGTCTGAGCTCATGAGTTGAAGACCACTTTGAGCCAGAGTGAGACCTTGTCTCTAAAAACCGTCAGGCGTTGTGGCAGGCACCTGCAGTCCCAACTACTTGGGAGGCTGAGGCAAGAGAATCAATTGCTTAAGCCCAAGAGATTGAGGTTGCTATAATCTGTGAAATGACTGCACTCAACAGGGGGCAACAAAGTGAGACTCTGTCTCAAAAAAATAATTTTTTTTAATAAAGTTGGGGCCTTAATATGTTGCCCTGGCTGGCTTGAACGCCTCAACTCAAGCAACCCTCCTATTTTAGCCTCACAAACTTCAGGAATTACAAGAGTAAGTCACCACACCCAGCCTCAAAATCTCTTCTTTTAGGTTGCCACAACTATCATCACATCAGATCCAGTTTACAAAGTCCTGTGTGACTTTTTAGCATGAGATCTAAGAAATACCAGTGATTTCATTACTATCTTTAAATTACTTCCATAGGAAAAAGACCCACAACTAAAAATTCAAGTTATAAGAATCTATTAAATACTTTGAGAAAAAGAAGAAATGTTCTGTTATCAACTATAAAACCATTTGTGGCTGGGGAAAGTAAAAAATCAGGAAATTCACTAAAATTTTGAGGGATTCAATACTGAAATTCTTCACAAATAAGCTGGAAACTATAAATGCTATGGGACAAAAATGAACTGAAAAGCTATACAGATGCATAACTATCAAAGGTAGTCACCTCACCTGAATTGACCATTAAATCCAAAGGAGAACAAGAGGGGTTATGATGCCAGGTAGCACATGAGAATTCAAATGATAAAGTCTCTTAAACCTTTTTTTTTATTTTGGAGACAAAGTCTCACTTTTTTGCCCTCAGTAGAATGCTGTGGCATCATAGCTCACAGCAACCTCAAACTCTTGGGCTCAAGAGATTGTCTTGCTTCAGCCCCCCAAGGAGCTAGGACTACAGGTACCCACCACAATACCCAGCTATTTTTAGAGACGAGGTCTCGATCTGGCTCAGGCTGGTCTCAAACCTGTGACATCAGACAATCTACCAACCTTGGCCTCCCAGAGTGCTAGGACTGTAGGCATGAGCCAACCCTCCTGGCTCTTAAACCTTTTTGAGGGTTCTTTAGACATTTTTCCCTACACCATTCCAAGGTAGAGGAAACTTACCGCATGGGAGTCGAGGTCAATAAAGCCATAGGTGTGGCCCATAGGGCCTGTTCTGTTCTTGATGATACGGACATTAGCAGTAGTAAGGTGGACATAGGGCTCTAGGACTTCCACTATTACTTCAGGAGGAGTGGAACGATAAATGCGTTTTAGCATGATTGCTGAATGAATCAAGCATAAATGGGAGAGAATGAAGAAAAAAGAAAGTTGAATTTCTAAAGTTGTAAAAGTCTGTTTTCTTTCTAACTGCAGATGCTAGGGCTAGTTCTATAAAGAAATACTAGAGAAATCCTACATGCTTTTCCTTCTTTTCCTTTTGTATTTATTTTTATTTTTTAAAAAACAGAGTCTGGCTCTATTACCTAGGCTGGCAGGCAACAGTCTCATCATTGCTCAATGAAACGTCAAACTCTTGGGCTCAAGGAATCCTCCTGCCTCAGCCTCTAGAGTAGCTGGGACTTTAAGTATGTGCTGCCATGCCTGGCTAATTTTTCTATTTTTTGTAGAGACAGGGTCTTGCTCAGGCCTCAAACTCCTGGCCTCATCCAATCCCCTGGCTTGGCCTCCCAAAGTGCTAGAATTACAGGCATGAGCCACCATGTCTGGCCTACATGCTTTTCATTACCAACTTAGAAGTCTAAAATCGTTCTTTACTGCATTTATAGAGCAATTTGCTATTTGGAAGATGTAGATTCTGTCAACTAATACCAAAAAAGCCATAGAAAGTAATGGCTCCTATAACCAGGTGATACACAGTTCTAGTAGGGTATGGGGAAGCAGCTAGTTCCCAGCCATAACATGGGCCCATCCATACTTTAGTTGTCATGGTCACAGTCTAGTATATGCCCTCACAAGCCACTTACTTTTGCTCTCTGCATCCTGGCGTGTCTCTCCAGACCACAGCTCCTTCTCTCGGTCTCTTCGGAAGGTGAGCCCTTCTCTTCGAGGAGGCTGATACCTTTCTGTTTCTCTCTTCTGATGTCCCAAGCGTGATTCTTGTCCTTCTTCCCTCTTCCTAGGTTCAGGTTCCTTATCAGCTGGTCTTAGGGGCTGACTGGACTGTTTTTCCAATGATGCTGGTATGGATGTTTTCTGAGGCTGAGGGTAGGTTATTAATTCTTGCTTGGTCTCTGTTGCTAAGGGAACACAAACAGAATCTCTAGAAGCTTTATTTAAAAAAAAAATAATGCACTGTCTCCAACTCTTCCTTATCTGACACCAAATACCTATACTGAAATAGTTTTTTTTTTTTCTTGCAGTTTTTGGCCAGGGCTGGGTTTGAACCTGCCACCTCCTGCATATGGGGCCGGAGCTCTACTCCTTTGAGCCCCAGGCGCTGCCCTATACTGGAATACTTTTAATATTGTCTCAGAAATATCTACCAAAAATTCTCTAACAAAGTTCCTGACAAAAAACTTTAATTTAAGCAAAGCTAAAGAGACAACATAAGGAATGGTTCACAGAAAAAAAAAAGCTCACAGAAGAAACTACCCAAACATTTTAATCTTACAATGTTTCGACTTATTATACATTTAAATATAATAAATCCTTCATGAGCTCTAGAACTATTCTATCCAATGGTAAGAACATATTTGGGTACAAAATCACCAAAGCTATTACTTTTTTCTTTTTTATTAAATCATAGTTGTGTACATTAATGCAATCATGGGGTACAATGTACTAGTTTTATATGCAATTTGAAAGGTTTTCATCAAACTGGTTAACATAGCCTTCATGGCATTTTCTTTCTTTCTTTTTTTTGTAGGGACAGAATCTCACTTTATTGCCCTCGGTAGACTGTCAATGGTCTCACACAGTTCACAGCAACCTCCAGATCCTGGGCTTAGGCGATTCTCCTGCCTCAGCCTACCAAGTAGCTGAGACTAGAGGCACCCGCCACAGCGCCTGGCTATTTTTTTGTTGCAGTTCGTCCAGGGCCGGGTTTGAACCAGCTACCTTTGGTATATGGGGCTGGTGCCCTACTCACTGAGCTACAGGTGCTGCCCACATGGCATTTTCTTAAAGCTATGGCCTTTGCTAGAGGTTAAAAGCATATCCCAAACATATGTTGAAGAGCCTTGCTTATTCCATCAGTACAGAAATAAAACAGCTGTCTCAAATTCTGTAAGACCTCAGACCCTTCTTCTCTGGCAAAGCTGGGAATAGACCTACCTGCACACATTTTTGAGACAGAGTGTCACTCTGTTACCCTGGTTAGAGTGCTGTGGCATCATAGCACACAGCAACCTCAGACTCGGGCTCAAGCAAATTCTCTTGCCTCAGCCTCCCTTTGTGCTAGAATTACAGGCATGCACTGTGCCTGGTCCCCAAATCATTTATTAACAGGTCCCATGAAATAGGATATCAAATTGTACTTGT